CTTCAAACTTTTAGAATTTGGAGAGACAGTGAGATGCACAAAGCCTTGCCATAGCAATCTAACCTAATTAAAGAGTGTCACAGGAGATAGTTATTTTGTAACAATGCTTTGGAAAAAGGGTGGAAGCCATCTTTCCGAGACTTTTTATACTCCTATCCAAATCTGATAACACATATCTAACTTTTAGAGACTTAGTGGACAAATAAGGGATGTTAAATTAAATGAAAGATATGTTTATTGTCAAAGTCTATACGTATAATATGGTCTCCGTGCCTCTTCTTTCGCTCCTTCATTCCGTAGTATGTCAATTCTCACTCTCACTTTTTTAAGCTACAAAACCTTCATTGGTGTTGTATCGTTCATATTTTGGCCCGACTGCCTAAGCCCAAGTTCATGCACGTTGTGATTTTGAACACACACGAGCATGTGGCTTGTCTTGTACATTTCTTAATCTCACATCAAGTACACAACAATAACCACCAATTTAAGCCAAGTCTATCTCCAATCAATTTCTCATATGGGATTAATCCTGAATTATGCATACACTTGCCTTGGAATTTATTTGATTTAATAAAGATAAGGTTGGCCAAGCTCAATTAACTCTAACAAAGATAGCTAACTCATTTTTTGAGCAAAAGATAGCTAACTCACTATTATTAGTATGGACACAAATCCAATGACCTAGCAACAAGTTATATTCCCTCTGTTTCAAATTCTAAGTCGTTCTAGCTTTTTAAATACATAGCTTACAATTTAAAAAGCCATTTAGAACAGAGGAAGTATGCGCTTATGATGCATGGACATATTTGATAATAATTAATATAATCAAAATAAATTACTCAGCTACGTGGAGAAAATAATAAAAAGAGACATGTCACATGGAATGTACTCTGAACATATAATTTTTATGCTTCAACAAAATACCCATAAAAACTGTGGAAGTAGAATGCTAAAAAATACTTGACAACTTGTGCTGAAAATATGGTTGAGTCTGGTAGTGGTGGTGAAGAAAAGAAAGAGGCTGACATCCCGAAGCCACCAGAACCAGAACGAGGAACCAAAACGAAACAACACCAGCAGCAGGGGGCGGCGATATAGCTAGGGAGTAGTTCACTTACCCCTCCCTCTCTCCACCCATCCTACGCCAGCTCCTCTCCGTCGCGTCGCCCCTCCTACCGTCCTACGTCTCCCTCCTCTCCCCGCTCCCGCTTCCTCCCCGCTGAGCGGAAGAGCGCAAGCAAGTGCTGCCTTTTCTTGGCGTGCGCAGCTCCTGATCGGCAGGCCCCCGCGGGATCTCGCTTGCTAGCCTGGCCGCGCGACATTGAGGCGGGGCGCCTGGAGCTCGGAGCCACCGCACTTGGTGTTGGTGCCTTGAAGTCGGTCGGGTGTCTGGTTCCTGATTTGATCTGCAGCTGCGGCGGCGGCGGCGGCCGACATGGCGGCATCGGGAGGGCTGGAGCAGTGGCAGAAGGACGGGTTCTTCCAGGCGGCCGAGGAGGTGCAGGAGTCGGCGGACTTGTGAGTGCCTTCGTCATCTTGGCTTCGATTCGTTGCGCCCGGGGCTACAAAAGTTTCAACTTTATATATATGCGAAAAAATGTCTACCGCTTGGCGAATTTTTTTTTTTGGCAACAATGTTTTTGCCCTGAATTTTGATTGTCCTTGTCCTTGTTTTGGAAGGTTGGGTTGCTGTTCCTTGATTACTTTGTGGATTATGGGTGTACTGTGTTTAAGATGGGATTCTGATCTGGCCCGTTCGGACTCGACAACTCTGGACTCTTGAATTTTCTACTAATTTTATTAGTGATTATTTGGCTAGGTTGTCGATTGGGGTAAGATGAGATTTGGATGCTTCTTTGCGCTCTGATTGGTGAACTGCTGGCTCTACCTATTTTGTCCGTTCTTTCCGTTCAGTTCAGATTGTGATGTCGTAAAAACTGGTTCTTTGGTGGCATCTCATATCTTATTGGGTTGATTTATGTTTCTATTTTGTATTGTATAGCTGGGGCAATTAATGCTCTATTCTAATCAAGTAGAATACAACTTTGCTTCAGTTGACAATTCTATTTGTTAATTTCGCCATGTAATGCTGCTTGGGTTGTGACAATTAATAAGAACTCATGTTGAAACAGACATTTACAATTGCAAATAGTCAAATGCATTCAGGAACATATATTCTAATGCAATTTTCCTCGAATTTGGCAATTTCTCCTTGCAGGATGGAATCTGTCTATAGAACTTGGATGCGTGAGCGATGTAATGGTTCTAGCTATGAGGAGGTAGACGATTTGCAAAGGGAGCTTCAGACAGCTTTAGGGACTGCAAAATGGCAGGCATGCTTTTACATAAACCTTTATATACTAGTAGCTGACTTGTGGTCTTGTTAATTCTTGCTAGTGATTGTCTGTGCAGTTGGAACAGTTTGAGAGGGCTGTAAGTTCAAGCAACGATAAGTATTCACTGGAAGAGGGTACAGTGGCAAGGCGTCGGCAGTTTGTTGTAGCCATTGAGGATCAAATTTCTCGTGTAGAGAAAGACATAAACAGTTCTTTAATGGACAATGGCAGGCAAGGGCTCAATTGGGTGAAGTTAGATGATGAGGAGCGAGATGATCTAGTCGCTTTCCTTTCAGCACCTGCAGACTTCTATTCAGAAATGAAGAGCACAGACAGCAGTAACCATGTCCCATCTAGACCAAAAAATGTGCCAGTTGGCATGAACGATCAGAGTGATCCAGCTTTAGTCATTAAAGACATATATGAAGTGCCACGCAGAGAAATTTCTACTGTTAAGAGTGATGTTTGTGGTCTAGCTGAGGAGTTACATGGCCTTAGAAGAAATTTGAGTGTAGGTAATGATCATTGGAAGATTGACATTGGTAACGAGATGGTTGATGATAGAAAATCGTCCCCAAACGCAACTGGGGTTCAGGCTGCAAGTCAGACAACTGCTTTATCAAGCATCCGGAGAAGCACAGAATCTTTAACAAGAGTGAGATGGTTTTGGAATAGCTTGTGGAAACCCAAGAGTGATGAAAATCGCTCATTAAGATATGATATGTCAAATAATCTTGACCTCAGGGTTGTATCCTTATTAACACAAGTATATCAATTTCCTCTGCTGCCCCACCCTATTCTAGATTTAAGATGTTTATATATAATATGATCTTATTGAGAGCAACTTATTGGACATATGTGTGTGCAAACAATCCTTGGAGATGTTAACTCAATAGTGTAGCATCCCTAATGGCTGTATAATGAAATCAAACCTTCCTTTCTGTAATATGTAATGGATTTGAACCTACAAACTGTGAATCTGCATTCATGTCATATACCACTTACAGTATATAAACAATGATTGAAATTATGATATTTCTCAAGATCGTCATGGGAGGGAGAACTTCGATTTATTTTGGCAACTGTATGCCAATGCATATGAAATATTGCTACATCCTAAATCCTGAATGTTATTTGCTGGTTTACATTTTTATTGGGCTAAGCATGTGACATTGACTTTTATGCATAGCAAACATATTTTATTTCTTTTACTGCATGATCCATTTTATAAATATGCTCCTTTTGACTGGTCTACAAAGTTAACGACATCCAATTAAGTTTGTTGGTGTTATCACTTTAGCTAATTTCTGAATCCAGTGGTTCTTTATGTTTTACAGAGATTTAATGGGCTAGCTGAAAGAAGCAGAAATTATTTGACAAGTTGGAAGGAAAATTCCCGAATTTCTGGACGGACAGGTGGGCTTCATATACAAGGCCAACAACAGAACATTCAATTTGGTCGTTCTATTCGGATCACCCTCTTACTGGTGTTGAGCATCTTTCTGATTGGTCAGTGCCAAACTTATCTAGCATGAATTTGTTTTTTTATTTTATCATAAGTAGTTTATAGCATAACTTCTTGTATATCCATGCTTTTGGGGTGGCTTTGTTTTGCTATTTTCCTCTGTTTGGTACTCCTTCATTTCAAATTATAAGACGTTTTGGCTTTTCTAAATACATAGCTTTTGATACGCATCTTGATATACACTATGTCTAGACCCTAGATAGATAGTAAGAGCAATGTGTTTAGAAAAAACTAAACGTCTTATAATTTAAAATGGAGGGAGTATCAAGTAACATAGGCTCAAAAAAGCTACGATCATGTTGCACATATTGATATACAGTGTTATGGCGTATATTTGAAAAATTACATTCAGAAAATCTTGGCAAGTGCAATAAGTATAGGTTGAAATCAGTGTTCTGTTTTGTCAATACTAATAATCACATTATGTGTTTTGCAGTACCATTTCTCGTCTCAGCATGACAAGGCATGCACTGTTTTACTGGTGAAGGAGCATTGGAACAATTAATCATGGTCCTGCTCATACATGTGTTATTCTCAAGTCGGCAAATGCAGCAAATCAACCATGTCATTTACATGTGTGGCTGCATGTATGGCAGGAAGAGAAACACGATGGTGAAGGTTTCGATTGTCCAATGCATGATTGCATATCATAAACTCCTCAACGACGCATAATTGTGCTAAGATTTATCAGAGTTATGATCAATTTGTGATCTGTTGGGATGGCTGATTGCTGCCAAATGGAAGTGGCTCTGGATATCCCATGAATGCAATTGTAAAAAGTTGTAGAGCTGATAGGAAAAGGCGAAAAGCAAATATTTAAAAGATGAGTGAAATGATTTGTGGAAGTGCCGAGAATCTCAGTGAAATGAACTATGGAAGGATCTGAATACGGTTATTGATAATAATACATTAATACGGCATTTGTCAAACCGTTGGACGCACGTATGGTTCTCTGTTCACAGCTGTTTTATTGATCCAGGTTTCTACACTTGTCCTCGTTTTATGGCATGCTTGCCCTTGCCCTTGCCCTTGCCCTTGCCCATGAAGTAATCTTGGTTCGACACTTCTACTTACTTTAACATCCCATCCATGAGATTAATTATAGGCTGAAGCTGAAGCTCCAGCTTGTGCTCACATGTCTACCTCGGCTGAAGCTCTGAGATGGACACATCGTTCTCCGAAACTGTGGCCATTGACGGCTGTTGATCAGAGCTCCATGTACCGGTTCCGGGGCGATCTGAGACAGTGCTGAATTCAGAGCTGAAGATGAAGGCCGGCCTGGACGGGGCTCGCCTGTCTTCAGGTGTGGTTGTCGGATTCCTTAGCATAAGCGCCACTGTGGAGGCATCCGGCCGCTCCACCGGGTTCTCCTGGACGCAAAGGAGCCCGACCTCTATGCAGGTGAGGACCTCGAACTCTGGGTACCCTGACTCGGCCAGCAATGGGTCCACCACATCCGCTGTGGAACCAGTCCTCCACTTGTCCCAGACCTGCACATGCACTGATGGTCGGTTAATCCCCTTCCCATGAGGATTGGGGGATTTCATCATTTCAAAGTCCAAACAGACCAAAGCCCATATTTTATTGAGAAATCTTTCTTCATGACAATTTTCCAAAGAACATGATGCACTTACGTGGCTCAACACAGACACGTAGTCTGTGGCAGAGTCAAATGCGCTGTTGTTTCTTCGTCCGGTTACCATCTCCAGGACTACAACACCGAAGCTGAACATGTCTGACTTGGAGGAGACATGCCCCCAGTAAGCATACTCTGGGGCCATGTACCCGCTGCATGCATCAACAACTTGCAATCAAGATTAACCATTAATGTTAGAGAGTAAACCGGCTCGTGGGCCTGCCGACCCAGGCTCCCTACAGTGCCTGTATGTACACTCTGATATTCATTGAGTAATACATCGAGTATTCTACAATTCATACGTTCTCAATTAAGAATTAGGAGCAATCAAGGGTAGTGTATTGACTGACTAGTAACTATACTTACAGTGTTCCAACAGGTCGTCTTGTTATATCTCTGGATTGGTCTCCGCCGAAAGCCCTGGCGATGCCAAAATCCGAAATTTTGGGGTTCATGTCCGCGTCAAGCAATACGTTGCTCGGCTTTAGATCTCTGTGGATGACCTTCAAACGGGACTCCTCGTGGAGATAGAGAAGTCCCCGTGCAATACCGTTGATGATGGCAAACCTCCTGCTCCAATCTAGCTGCTGCCGTTTCACTGGGTCTTTACTTACAAAACAAGAACATATTAAACACAGTATATATAGAGTATCAATTCAGGTTAGTTCAGTTATTTTTATTTTAACAGTATTTCGATGGATACCGTAAAGGAAGGTGTCTAGACTTCTGTTGGGCATGTACTCGTAGATCAGCAGCTTCTCTTCTTGCAGGCAAACCCCCAGCAGCCGCACCAGGTTCCTGTGCTCCAGCTTGGTAGCCAGCACAATCTCGTTCTTCAGCTCGTGGAATCCCTGTGAGGAATTCTGTGAAAGCCTCTTCACAGCTATCTCTTCCCCGTCTTGTAATGTACCCTGCACAAGGCAAAGCACCTGCTGTTACCATTTTCGATAATCACTGGTATATATTTTATTGTGCCTTTTAATTATTTAATTGTAATAGACACTTTACACTGCCAATTCAAGATAATATATACTCCCTCGGTTCTAATTTATAAGTCATTTTGACTTTCTTAGATGCACAACTTATTACGTATATAGGCATATTGTATATTTAGGTTTACAGTGAAAGCTATGTATCGGTGTTTCGCACCGGGGGTCCTCAACCAACCAGTAAATGCGAACTACGTGCCCCTAATCCCGGATGGTGATGCAAAGAGACACAAAGCTTATACTGGTTCAGGCAATCGGTGCCCTACGTCCAGTCTAGGAGATCGATCTTATATTCTTTGCACCGAAGTGCTTGTAGTAGGGGGTTACAAGCTGGGTGAGAGAGGGAGCTAGTCCCAGGTCTTGGCGTGGAGTGGTGCGGACTGCTTGAGTCGTTGCTCTCAGGCAGCGTGGGAGCGTGCGCGAATTGAGTGACTGCGTTTTTTCGCGTGAGGGCCGGCGTGGTCCTCTCCCCTAGAAACGGCCCTGACTGCTTCCTTTTATAGCCACAAGGAGGGAGCCAGGAGTACATGAGAGAGCTACACGTGGAGCCTTATCGAGGAAGGAAGATCCAATCATCGTGGCCTATTCCCTCAGCAAAGACAAAGTGTGTCGGGAATGGCAATTGGTACTTGATCACCGGTGCGCCATGCCGCCATGCCCGAGGTCACAAGTCGTAGGGTCCTTGTTGACGCTTAGTCAAGATGGCCTCCTCTGTAGGTGACATGTCGTGCCTTGTGAATTTTTGACTTGGTGGTTCGCCGAGGCCCGGGCAGTGTTTGTGGCGGCCCGCTGCCGAGGCCTGATTTGCCGAGGCCTCGGGAGGTGACCTGAAAAGCGATGCGCGGTCTCGGTGGTCGTCGTCGCATCTCCGGTTTAGGTGGAAAATGCAGGCGTGTCCGCAAAGCACGGTAGTCCCCGCACCATCGCTGGGGAATGGTAAAAAGGCGATTTGATCGCCGTCCCATCGCCTGCTATGCCCCCGCCAATCGTGGGCGACGAGGCGCAACCAGGGTACTTACATGGATGGGACGACCCGCCAGAGGGGTAGTTGAGTCGGAGACGATGAGGATGCGGGATTTGCCCCCCTCCTCGGCCGAGGCGGAGAAGGAATAGTATGTCCGAGACCTCTGCCGGGGTCTCGATGAGGCGAGAACGAACGGCAGCTTGGGCTCTCCTACGGTTTCCGAGACTACAGTGGACATGGACTTGACCTTCCATGTCGCTTTGTCCTTAGCACAGGGTTTAGAATAGCATGTTGATGAGCACAAGCAATGGTAACCCCTGCTGCGCCTGGTCCCTTGTCCCGCCGTTGGCCGCTCGCCTGTCTCTGCACTGAAAAGCGCCGGCGCTTGCGGGAGAAGTTAGGCGATTAATCTGGACGTGACGTTTCGTTAGAGGAGTTTGGTCGGGACGGAGACCACGAGTATGTTTGCCGAGCCCGGCCTCGAGCGAATCGAAGAATTGGCATCCCATCCGAGGCCTTTCGGGACGAGGCCTCGGCGAGAGGGTCTCGGCGAGGGCCTCAAGGGGGCGCTTTTGGCCTTTCAGATGAGGCCTCGGCAAGCAGGGCCTCGAGCGAATTGGAGAATTTCTGCAGAGACTGGCGGTAGTTTTTGGTTTTGATTTTTGCAAGGTTTAAGCGATATTTTTGGTTCTTGCTTAGGGTACCCTTCTTGTGGTATCCGACAAGAGTAGCCCCGAGCATCGGAGGAGTGCGGCACTCTCCCGAGGTTTTGACGAGACTTGGTCTCAAAGCAGATCCTGCTTGGGATCGTGTTTTGTACTTTCAGTGGTTCCGGTGGTGCGCTGCGAAGCGCACTCCGCCGGGTGTAGTTTCGAGGCCCTGGAGGAGTGGGTTTACTCCTCCAAGGGCTTTTTTCTCCGTTTGAGGAAGGAGTTTTATTGTGCTTGCTGGGCCCGCAAATGCGAGTTCGGGCTACTGGGTCTCGACAATCTTGCAGGAAGAGCCCCCTAGCCTCTGCACAGAGCGAGAGGGCCGTTAGGTGCTCTCCTGGCTTTTTATACACCTCTCGCGCGTGAGGGTTTGTTTGCTGAGACCCCCTCGGGTGTGAGCCTGGGTCACGGGGCCTCAGCATATCTACAGGAAGAGCTCCCTAGCCTCTGCCCGGAGCAAGAGGGCCGTCAGGAGTACCCCTGGCTTTTTGTACGACCCTCGCGTAACCTTTTCCTTCGGAAGGAGGGGTTTGCTTGCCGAGCCCCCTCGAGTGCGAACCTGGGTCACTGGGTCTCGGTAAAGTTGCAGGGAGAGCCCCTTAGCCTCTGCGGGGAGGTCCGTCAGGGGTTCCCCCTGGCTTTTTTATACGACCCTCGCGCTTCCTTTTCGTTCGGAAGGAGGGGTGGAATATGCCAGGCTACCCTCGGTGGGCGCGAGCGGTGACACTTCCGGTGAGCTGCTATCGGGTAAGTCCGAGTGGAGGCCCGTGCCCCATTCGATAAGGGTCGGCTAGCGGTCCAGAGACGCACTCCAAAAGTACCAGAGGGCTTCTCTATTGGGTCCTGTGGCTGCTCGATTGGCCCCGGGGCTCGGCGCCTCCTACGGTGGGATCCCATTCCGAGAACTCCTCGCTAGGTCTCTGGACACGACTTAGGGCATCCCGAGCGATTGCTTGCTCGGCCATGGCCATGTACGGGCTCGCCCATAGTTGTCCCCGACTCTGTTGTCCTCGGGCGGCCGTCGAAACCCTCGGTGGTCCAAATTTTCAACCCTTGACTGTGAACGGGCTCTCGGCCCTTTTTGTTGCTTTTTTCCGAATGTATGAGTGCGGGCTTGGGTCGCTTATCCTTGTCTTGGGTGCAGAAGGAGCCCCGAGCCTCCACACGAAGCGAGAGGGCGGTCAGGGGTCCCCCTGACTTTTTTGTTCAGCCCTCGCGCATCCTTTTCGCTCGGATGGGGGTTGTTTGCCGAGCCCACTGTGTGCGAACCCGGTCGCTAGGTTTTGCAAACCCAGGAAGAGCCCCCCTAGCTCTCCACGGGAGCGAGAGAGCCGTCCAGTGCTCTCCTGGCTTTTTATACGCCTCTCGCACTTGAGGGTTTGTTGGCTGAGACCCCCTTGGGTGCGAGCCTAGGTCGCGGGGCCTCAGCATATCCGCAGGAAGGGCTCCCTAGCCACTGCCCGGAGCAAGAGGGCCGTTAGGAGTTCCCCCGGCTTTTTGCACGACCCTCGTGCTTCTTTTTTCGCTCGGAAGGAGGGGTTTGTTTGCCGATCCCCTCGAGTGCGAACTCCGGTCACTGGTCTCTGCAAAGTTGTAGGAGGGCCCTTAGCCTCTGCGGGGAGGCCCGTCAGGGTTCCCCCGCTTTTTATACGAACCCTCGCTTTTTTTTTCGCTCGTAAGGAGGGGTGGAATATGCCAGCTACCCTTGGTGGGTGCGAAGCGGTGACACTTCCGGGAGCTGCTATCGGGTAGTCCGAGTGTAGGCCCATGCCCCATTTGATAAGGGTCGGCTAGCAGTCCGGAGACGCACTCCAAAAGTACCAGAGGGCTTCTCTATTGGGTGCCAGGGCCGTTCGATTGGCCCCGGGGGCTCGGCGCCTCCCTACGGTGGGATCCCATTCGGAGAACTCCCTGCTGGTCTCGGACGTGACTTTGGGCGTCCCAAGTGTTTCGCTTGCTTGGGTCTCGGCCATGTACAGGCTCGCCCGCGGTCACCCTTGACTCTGTTGCCCTGGGGTGGCTGTCGAAACCCTTAGGGGCCCAGCCTTCGAACCCCTGGACCGTAATGGGCTCGGCGCCCGGTTCCTTCACCTGAAAGGAATATGGTGGGGGGGATATTTCCCCCATCGGTTCAACAACGGCCGGCGCCTCTTTTTAGGCGATTTCCTGGGGGAGGCGAAACGACGTGTGCTGCTGCAGCGGTCGGATGTGACGTGGCGTCAGCGGATGGGACGTAACTGTTCCCGCGATTAATGAGGAAAATGTGGACACACGGGCGGTAAAATCGGATCAGGATTAACCGCGCCAGATCTGAGGGAAACTTCCCCAATTTCGTCGCCCGTCCGTTTCATCTTTACCCTGCATAAATACGCAACGAGCCTCGCTCCTCCCCTCCTTACCTTGCCCGCATTAGGTTTGTCATCTTTGAGCCGTCGCCGGAGCAAAGAGCCCTAGGAGGAAGAAAGGAAAGAGGCGAGGTAGA